CTCGTGCATGTGCGCAGTTCACGCATGCATCTTAGCACCTGCACGATGCTCCAGCTGCTCCTGGAGGATTGCGCAGGCGCTGTATGCGTCCTGCGCATGCGTGGAAGTGCAGAACTCATCAAAACCAGGTAAGGAGCGCAGGCGGGTGGGTGGGCCCTTGGCCGTTCCCGGAAGTTACTTACTTCCGGGTTCGCCGACCAACCGGTTCATGGGGACCGCCGCGAACCGGTTGAAACCCACCCCTGGTGTGTGCCCATGCTGCACGCGTTCATGTGATGGCTGCCTGGCCCCGTTGCACCGTACCGTTTGCACTGGTATTGGGAACCCACCACTGATACATACATATATGCACACATATGTATCTAAACATTTCCTTGCAGATTTCCCCTTTAAGATCCAGGTCCAGAAACATTCTCTATTAAATACCCTTTGCAAGGGGTAAGATTTGGCCTCAGTGTAATCTTAACCACCTTCCTAGGCAGCTGGATCTGCTCAAACTCATCGGCTCACCTGCGCAGGGCTTCCTCTCTTAAGTGGGCAAGCACCGGGGGACCCTCCGTAGTTTGCTCCACCCTGATGGCTGGTGGGCGTGAGGGGCAGCACACATACTCCACACCTCGGAAACGGTCGGCTCCACAAGGCAGTAGCATGCCGTAGCTGTGTAGCTCAAGATGTTCACCACTGCAGGCCTGGAAGTGGGGGGGATATGAACAAGGTTAAAATGTGCTGCAGTGCAACACCCAGAGACTGTTTCACACAACTCGGTGAACTTGCCCAGAGTGCCATGTAAACCTAGGTCATACGTTTGAGTTTTATCATGTGAGCTCGGGTAACCGACGTGAGAGTAAAGTATCGTTCACTTAACACAGTTGCATGCTGTGAAAACTTGTCAAGTCTTACTGGGTAGACCAGACTGGAGACGTGACCAGATAAGCTAATTCTACTTTACTATAAAGCTATATTAACAGCATCTTTCACGTCTGAAAATTCTACCCCTGTCTCCTTGCTTCCCCCACCCTTTTCATGACCCTGTAATCTCTTGCATCGGGGTGGAGTCAGGATGACTGGATGGAGCTGAGTGTTTACTGGCCCGATGCCCTTCCTGATGCCTACATGGAGTTTGCAGCAGATATTTTCTCTTGGAGCCCACAAATATAAATATCTGCCACTACCTAGGATGGATCTCGCAGCCTCCTGATTGTGAGACAAGGGCTCCACCTCTAGGCCACCACACCACTCCTACCCCCATCTCCATCTCCAGGTGCTCCCGGCATGAGTGGTGTCAGGCTGGCCACACCCACCCGGGCCGTACCCCCTTCCCCATTGAGACTGCCCTCAATGAAATCGAGTTTGACACCCCTGTTCTGTGGTTTCTCCTAGACTGTGGCATGATCACCAAACTTGCTTCTCTCACGGTGATACCTTCTTAAGATCTTTAATAAGAAGGCAACGAAGCAACCCGCTATCAACCCATGCTTGAAAGAAGGGCTCAACAATTCAGAACGATCTTGATAAATAATCTCCTTATCCCTTTGGATTTCTTGCCAGCCCTTTTAACTTCCATGGGCTCAAGTAGAAATGCTGGAATGCGGTTGATAAGGAGTCCATAGTTACTCACCTCTTTAGCCACACTATGCCAATACAAGTAGGTCTCGCAGGAGTCCATTTTCTCTTGGTGTAGGAATTTGCACTTGTCTGGTACAAGAAGTGCTTCGCTCACAAACTCGCCCACTGGGGGAAGAGAAGACAAGTAGGTACTGGTGTCAAGGGTTTATTACTTTGTCCTATCAAGGAGCTATTTATTGTAGCTACACCTGGCAGTAGAGGCTACAACTGTTAAGATTATAATGATTCCTCTGTTCTCCCATGTTTTGTGTCACTAATGGAGGGTCTGAACCAGAGATGGTATTCAGCTGGTTCTCTCTGGTTTGGGCGAACCGGTAGCGGTGGCTAGGCTCCGCCCACCCATCCTGACATAATGCGTGAGCACTGCACATGCCTAGAAGGCGGTGTGCATGCCCAGACTGCCTTCTATGCATGCAAGAATGCGCTCATATTTGCGAACCGAGAGTGAAGGTAAGTGAATCCCACCTCTTGGGATTCTTGAGATTTTTATTGACCACAACTCTCAGCACCCTTGACCATGCTAACCAGCAACGATCCAGGATCTAGGATCCAGTAGTTTTTAAGTTTGGAAAGCTGCAAGTTCCTCTACTTGATCACTCTGATTCTTCCCAGAGAGACATGAATAGCTTAGCACCAGTTTTGAAGGCAGGAGGTTTTGTAGATCAGATTTGGTCTGATCGTGACTATAATACCATAATGCCCAGTCAAAATGGCCAGGAATTATGGGACCCGACGCCTGACAAGCATGGAAAGTATTAATTTGCCAAAGGTTCATCGGGATGGACGAAAGTTTAATTTGACAAAAGGCAAAATTCCCTTCAAAGCATGTGCAAAGGAGTCAAGACCAAAATATCTATAGCAATAAGCTTCACTCTAAAATCTCTGCCTGGAAAATTGGTAAGTTGAAGAATTATCTGCAACCCCAAATTGGGAAAACTCCAAGAATTGCAAGATAATGTTAATGACAGAGATAAACAATTTGGGGTTTTCTGCGCCAAAGTTTGGATTGCAACTCCTAATTCCTTGTCACTGGTCATTTTGCCTGGCCCCCTCCCGCCCCTGATACTGAGACCCTAAACTATTGAAGGATTTCAAGTGGCTTCCTTTCTAATTGTAATGCAATAAGCATTTAGTGGGGAAAGTGCCACCATGGCAATTTTTCTTGGAAAAGAATGACACAGACGCCTTGTCCATAACCAATTTGTGCACCAATAGCAGCTTCTTCATTTTTGCTTAAAAATAAAGTCCCACTGAATTGGACTAAATGCATATAACTTTGATTTCCACTGAATCAGAGTTAAGTGTACATAACACTGTGGCATGCACCAACACCAGCGTTTCTCAACTTAGCAGCTGTAGGATGGGTGGACTCCAATTTCAGCGTGCTGGCTGGGGAATTCTGGGAGTTGAAGTCCGTCTATCCTAAGTCTGCTGAGGGCGAGAAACACTGGCCTACACTACACCTTTTTAATCTTTCTTGAGCCCCCATCTGCCAAAAGGTTCCTGAGGGAGACGGCTTGCAATTATCAGGAGCAAGACCTTCCTTGCGTTCAAGCTGGTGCTTTCAAATGCACAACCCACACCCCCACCCCCAAAGCAACAGAAGGAACAAGGAAAATGACAACGACACGTGATTTCATTCCCAATTTTAAAGTCAGTCCTTATCATCCCCAACTGGAGATGCAAACAAGTCAGGCGGCTGGACTCTGCGCTTACCAAGACACTGGTAGGGTACCACGATGTGCATTTGGCTTTTGCATGATGAACGTCCTTTCTTGCACCACTTGTCTATGGTAACTGGCTGCGTGCCTTCCACCGCATTTGTGATCTGCAGCTCTGGATATACCTGCAGGGCAAATGGCCGTCAGTAGGGCATCAAATAGAGGGCAGAGAGAAACAGATGTGGAAGACTTGGAAGCCATCTTTTACCTGTGGGATTTCAGGCCTGCCACATTTGCTACTGTGGGAAACTGGGAGGTGGGGGGCATTATACAGAGCGTGGATCAGAGGTGGGTTCCTGCCAGCATTAACTGATGGTTTGGTGTGCGTGCGATTTTGCACCAAACTGGTGTGGACTGATAGGAACCCACTTCTGGTGTGGATGATATGTAGCCATAATAACATTCTTTCTTTGAAAGTCAAGGCTGTGTTGCCCAGCAGCTGCGATGAGGTGACTGGGAGGCATCTCCAGTTTGGATGGTGCCTGGTTGGATCATGTGATGGACATGTGGGTGCCGGGCAGGGACTTGGACTTTCATTTGGGTGGGGAAACCCTGGAAGCTTTCAGATTTGGGTTTTCNCTTCCTTCCTTCCTTCCTTCCACTTTTTCTTCTTTCTTTTCTTCCTTCCTTTCTCCCTCCCACCTCCCTCCCCTTTTCCTTTCTTTCTTTTCTCCCTCCCTCACTTTATTCTCCCTCCCTCTTTTTCTTCCTTCCCTCCTTCCTCCCACCTCCCTTCCCTTTCCTTTCTTCCTTTTCTCCCTCCCTTCCTTTTTCCTCACTCCCTCTTTTCCTTCCTTCCTTCCTTCCTTCCATCCTTCCATCTCCCCTTTCCTTTCTTCCTTTTCTCCCTCCCTTCCTTTATCCTCACTCCCTCTTTTCCTTCCTTCCTTCCTTCCTTCCTTCCTCCCTCCCTCCCTCCCTCCCACCTCCCTCCCCCTTTCATTTCTTTTCTCCCTTCCCTCTTTCCTTTTTCCCCACTTCCTCTTTTTTCTTCCTCCCTCCGGCTTCCTTCCTCCTTTTCTTCCAGCCTCCTTGCCTTCCTGCCAACCGTTCAGATCTCCTGGTAGGGGACCACATCTCTTTGGATCCCTGAGGGCAAGCCCAGGTGCAGCCACTCACCTCGTGGCTTTCCCTATCGGCGGAATGCGCTGGCATTCAACCTGCCTCCTTGTGCGGTTGAAAGGAAGAAACGGTGCAGGTGTTGCCAACCACAAAGGAAGCAGCCTTTAGTTCCAGAACACTGAGCCATCAGCAGTGGGTGGGGGAGGCTCCCTTACGCCCAGCTCAAGAAACACGTTGCCTACTGGGTTATTGTTCAAGCCAGATTTTCTACCGTCCCATCTAGGGAGACTGCAGGAGAAATTCCACCCAGCAGCCAGGTTTCTCCCCAACCCATCCCCTTGGATGCCGACATAGTTTTGCAAGGGAGCAAAGCCACCTTCCTCACAAAAGAGGATGGGGGAGAAAAACACCCTCTCCCCAACGATAAAATTCGAAAGTACAAAACCAAAGGAGTTAACTCTTCGGTGCAGACTTTGATCATAACCTGTGAGATGGAGAGAGAGAGAAAGAGGCCTTCGTATCATGGGCCAGAATCCTAGCGTGGGATTTTTCTAAAGAGAGAGTCAGCCTTGAAAGACAGGCAGCTCCCGTCTTGCTTAATGTTCTTGCTTAACATTTCTGAAGGAGGCCTTTTAATGACCCCGGCCGGAGGAGGGGATTGACTGGTCCTATCACACAGGGCTTGGGGAAGAGGAGAGAAGGGGTGTGTGTGTGTGTGTGNCTGGCTATCCCGTCAGGCCTGGGGTTAAAGATTATAATCCGTCCCCTCCCGAATGATGAATGAATGTTGCTTCTATTTTTAATTACGTACTGTTTTTGTATGTCATTGTGTGTACTCCCTTCCCTATACGTTGTAAGCCGCCCTGAGTCCCCTCAGGGAAAAGGGCGGCCTATAAATAAATTTATCTACTATCTACTATTATCTACTACTAAATCATGTAAGGTAGAAGGAACGAGAAGACGTAGTAAAGTGGGTGGGCTTGATTACAGTGGTGGTGGATGGGCTGTTGGAGGACTTGAAGGACCAGTTTTGTCAAAGTTCATCCTAGAAGGTCTATCCATGTATAAGGTTTTGCCAACGTTGGCATCTGTAAGATGCGCGGACTTCAACTTCCAGAATTTCCCAACTTTAAGACGCGCGGACTTCAATTCTTGAAGTTGAAGTCTCCACGTCTTAAAGTTGCCAACGTTGGCAAATCGTGACCTATATGATTGCTTAGAGTCAACCCCAGCTGGATAATAATTGTCAAATATGTAGCTCAGTTCTTGTTGGGTCTTTCTTTGCACTGAGCAATAAGTGTGAGATGTCACAATCAGTGTCGTTGAGGGCACAATACTTGGCCTCTTCGGGACAGGAGTCCAGGTAGTTCTTCGAATGCAACCATTCGAAGCCTGACCTGGTTTTGAAGTTACGAAGGTTGGACCATCCCCAGTGGTTGGTGGTTGGATTCAAATAATTTAACAATGGTTCTCTGCCCTAATGACCGGCTGGGTAGGTGTGTCTGGGTGGTCATGTGGCTGGGGGGCATGGCCAACTCAACGTCACTCACGTTGAGGGGCACCTCTCCTCGCCATGCCTGGCTATGCCTGATCCCTCCTTTCCTAGCCACTCGTTGTCCCCCCCCAACTAATGGCCCTGCCTCCCAGTCGGGTGAGTAGCTGGGTAGCTGGGTGAGGGGCCTGGGTAGGAAGGTGAGGAGTGGCTGGGAGAGGAAGGGCAAGGTGGGGCCAGGCCAGAGATGGGTTGCTAATTTTTTTACTACTTGTTTGGGCACGCTCCCATGTGTGCTTGCATGTGTTCACAACGTTCTGCGCATGCGCAGAGGCGTCCGGGCAGGAAGGCGGAGCCTTCTGCCGCCATTACTATTGGTTCAGCTGATCTGGGTCAAACCGGCAGCAACCCACCTCAGGCCACGCGTGGGGAGGAACGCTATTTGCCGAACTGTACAAAAAGTTAGTTACTGGTTCTACCAAACCTACTCGAACCGTCTGAATCTCACCACTGCATGTGACCATATTTTCACTCACCGGGCCACATTTATGACTATTTGCAGCATCTCACAATTATGGGTGACATTTTACAGCCATTTCATTGAAAATCAACAATTTTGGGGGTTTTGGGGGCAAATCTACCGTCCGCCACAAAAGAACAATCATAAAATCAGGTCAGCCATAGGACCGCTTTATGACCCTCACGGCTTACAACATGGAGCCCATTGTGGTTGTAACTCAAGGACTACCTACAGAACATGTGAATTTTCTTTCCCCTCAGTTCACCCCAGTTGGAGATACTGTCAGAGAGCAAATTTGAGTAGAAATGAAGATGAACTGTTTCCTGAGTCCCTGGGACTGTCAACGGGAGAGGTGTTGGTTGATTAGGCAAGAACAGGCCTGGTGGAAGCACTAACCAAGAGGAGGCTGAATTTTTTTTAAAAAATGGATTAGATGCAGTGGTGGGATTCAGCCAGTTCGCACCTATTCGGGAGAACCGGTTGTTAACTTTCTAAGCAGTTCGGAGAACCGGTTGTTGGACCCCCCCCCCAAAAAGAGGCTTCCGACTGTTTTGTACACTTACGATCATTGCAATCACGTGATCAAAATTCAGATGCTTGGCAACTGGCATGTACTTACGACAGTGGCAGTATCCTGGCATCCTTTGCGACCTTCCCAACTGACTTCCAACGAGCAAGGTCAACCGAGGAGGCAGGGAGGGGGGAGGAGGAGTAAGGCAGATTCTCTGAACAAACCGCCATACCAACTTGACAACCGCAGGGATGACTTTAACGGGAAGGTTGCAAAATGGGACAAAGTGCACTTAACAGCTATCTCGCTTAGCCACGGGGAGATTTTTGTCCCGCTCAATTGTCGAGAACGTACTTAGCAATAGCAGTTAGACTTATATACCGCTTCATAGGGCTTTCAGCCCTCTCTAGGCGGTTTACAGAGTCAGCATATCGCCCCCCCCCACAGTCTGGGTCCTCATTTCACCCACCTCGGAAGGATGGAAGGCTGAGTCAACCTTGAGCCGGTGAGATTAGAACCGCTGAACTGCAGATAACAGTCAGCTGAAGTGGCCTGCAGTACTGCACCGTAACCACTGCGCCACCTCGGCTCTATAGAAAAACAAATTTTCAAAAGCATGGATTGGCAATTCATGGGCTGTGTGTCATGCCCCGCCTCATTCCCTATTAAA